TCAATTCAAAATCTTTAATAGATTTTAAGATATCCAAGATCAAATATTTTGAAATAAAAATCTAAAGGGGTAACCCTTTGAAAAATTCGAAATTTTTATTGTTCATATTTATTGAATTTTGACTTTTCCAATCTATAGAGTGGGTATAAATTAGTCGAAAAAAACTCTAACGTCATTACAAAATCTTGATTTCAACACAGAGAAAAATTAAAAAGAAAATTTCAATTTTTAGGTTTAAATTTTTTTTAAATCCTGACAAGGTAGGAGCAATTGCCAATACTTCTATCAAATTTTGAGCAAATTAAAATAAATTATATATGGTTGGAAAGAGCATCAAATTCTCTATAAATCAGTGCTAGATTGAGTTTAATAGCTGAAATACTTTTGGAGCAATTGAGCCTCAAAGTTGGATTTTAGTTGAAATTTAGTCAAAAACTTTAAACTCGATTTTCTCAAAAACCGTAAATGCCAGCGACTTCAACTAAGTACCATTTTGAAGCCCTAATCAAGGGCCACAATCTCAAAAAAATTGATTCCAAATCTTTGACGGGTTTCGAGAAAATTGAATTTGAAAATTTTGAAATTAAAATCCAAAGGGGGTTGTAACCCTTTGAAAATATCGAAATTTTTATTTTTCAGATTTTTTGAATTTTGACTTTTCCAATCGATAGAGCAAATCTAAATTAGTCGAAAAAAACTCTAACTTTATTTCCAAATCTCGATTTCGAAAGAGAAAAAAAATCAAAAGAAAATCTCAATTTTCAGGTTTAAATTTTATTTAAATTCTAACAAAGTTAGGAGTAATTGCCAATATTTCCCTTAAAATTTGAGCAAATCAATACATTGTTAGAAAGAGCATTAAATTTTCTATAAATCAATGCAAGATTGAGCTCCATAGCTCAAATACTTCCCGAGCAATTACCCCTCAAAGTTGAATTTTAGTCGAAAAAGTATCAAAAATTTCAAACAAATTTTTTTCAAAAACCGTAAATGCCAACGACTTCAACCAAGTCCCATTTTAAAGCCCTCATCAAGTGTTACAATCTCAAAAAAAAATTGATCTAAAATCTTTGACGGTTTCTGGAAAATTGAGTTTGAACATTTTGAAAAAAAAATTCAAAGGGGGTTTTGGAAAAAAATTTAAAAACTCACAGATTTTTGCAATTTTGACTTTTCCACTCGATAGAGCGAGTTCAAATTAGTCGAAAAAAACCATAACATCATTACAAAATCTTTATTTCAATACAGAGAAAAATTTAAAAAAAAAACTCAATTTTTAGGTTTAATTTTTTTTTTGAATCCCATCAAAGTTAGGAGCAATAATTGCCAATACCTCTATTAAAATTTGCGCAAATCAAAATAAATTATATATGGTTGGAAAGAGCATTAAATCCTCTATATTCAGTGCTAGAGTTTCATAACTCAAATACTTTTCGCACAATTGAGCCTCAAAGTTGTTTTACTCGAAATCCCAGTCCAGGATTGCTTCAATGTTCACTTAGTTTTTAATAAGTAGTAATCTTATCGCTTGTGATAAATGATATTTGACATTTTGCCCAATAGTGTTGCCGATGTTTATATAATCACTGTTATGGAAAATTCGAAATTTGCAAGCCTCAATGATTGACACAATATTTGTTATAAATTGTAGTTGGCAATACTGTTTGACAAGGGACAAAGTAGGCATTGCAAAATTGTAAAATTTAAATATGGCGCCCTGTAATACCGACATTGCAATACATACATGTTTCCAAAGTTTACTTGGTTTGATATAAGCACGTAAGGCGAGAATTTTCCTGAAAAATCAACTTTCAAGATTTCTGGTGATTTTTTTTTTTAAATCTGGTGATTTTTCATTCCAATTTCTGGAAATTATTGTCCACAACTACACCCAAAAACCCATGTTTTTCTGTTCTTATCAAGGATCTGCACACGGTGCACATCTCCTCATCTGATTCATGTTGTACAATTATATGAAGCGAAACAGAAACATTGTCATTATAAATATTAAATAAAATATATTTCGTCTTTTCAACATGAACTCATAATTTATTTTGTCTTAACCAAGAAACCACACTGTTAACCACCATATTTGCTTTTTAATCCACATTTATTTATTACTAGTTCTACCGTAGAACTAGTAATAAATAAATGTGGATTAAAAAGTTCTACCCCACGCCTCTCCAAAAACAATTGTTTTAAACTAACCCAAGCTTTACGATTCAGCTCTATCCCCTATCCCATAGGAATTATGCATTTTTCCGGGATAAAAATAAGTATAGCCTATAACACTCCCCTTTATATAGAGACTATGTGATATGAATTTGAAGAAAATCGGTTCAGCGGTTTCCGAGTCCATGAACGAAGAACAAACAAACAAACATTGATTTTTATATATTAGATTATAGATAGGTTCTGATTATGAAAATCGCTGACACAATTATTGCTGATTTTTTAACAGTCTGGTTATATTACTGCGGCTGAGATCAGTGTTCAGTTACAGTTACAGATAAAGTCACTGGAGACGAGAGACGAGGGAGAGATCTCAGATCTGGGGTCTTATTTTCGAATATTCTCGCATTCAAAGAAAACACCTTATATTAACGCATCTATAAATATATTTGATCGTCGATTATACGTCACTTCTACTATGACATTGTGACGTTCAAACAACGTATATTGGAATACGTAGATTATACATGTAGGTACCTACCTCTAAATCGAAGTGATTTGATGACCTAGAATCAAAATATAATTGACGTAAGTTTGCTGTTTGAATATCTACTCATTTTCATATTCACTAAAACAGCACTCCACTCGTTTTCTAGTAGGAATCGTAAGGATATATACTTGCAATTTAATATTATGGTGAAATGCATAGAAAACTGTCTTCACCGACAGTATAATAAGTGGCAATTACTCTGAAAATGGGAGGATTGCTCTAAATATGAGGAAATTGCGCTAAAAATTAGTGGATAACCCCGAAAATGTACCACCTCCTGTAACTTTTTCATGTACGATCAAAAATAAAAAAGTTACAGGGGATGATACACCCTCACCCTGTAGTACCTACATACAAGGTTTTGTTTTAAAATTTTATTTTCTGAATGATCTCCATTTTCAATTTTTAGCCGTTTTCTATCCTTAGGATATAGGCCTCTGTCAAATTTGACCATTGTCTTCGGTTTTGCGCAACTCGGTACCAATTTAAGCCTGCAACCTTCTTTCTCTCGTCGTACCATGTTTGTTGGGGTCTTCCAACATTTCTCCTCTCTTCCCAAGGTCTACATTTAGTGATATACCCGCTCCAGTTTTCTGTATGTCTGGCCACGTGTCCTGCCGATTGCCATTTTGGGGAACCAATTCTTTTTATTATGTCGGAGACTTTTGTTCTTTCCCTTGTTCATGTATTTGTTTTGTGGTCTTTCAGGGAAATTCCTAAAATTCGTCTAACATGTACTTTAATTTGCCGTAAGTCGCCCATCCCAATCTAATTCTCCTATCAATTTCCATTTCTTGATTTTGTTTGCCCGGTGTTTTAACTTGGCCAAGGTATATGTATGTTTCTGTCTTTCTTATTGTGCTGTCATGAATCAATATTGTTTCGTCTGCATCTGGAGTATTTGTAATAAGCTGGGTCTTTGTGTAGTTCATGTGTAATCCTACTTTTGCTGCATCATCAAAATTCTTCCAACATATCTATCAATTCCTGTTTGTCTTTTGCACATAGTACAATATCGTCGGCAAATCTTAGATTGTATAGGCATTCACCATGTATGTTGAATCCTTTGTTTTCCCATTGTAGCTTTTTAAAAATATCCTCGAGCACTAAAGTGAATTGTTTTGGAGATATTACGTCCCCTTGCCAAACTCGTCTTTTGGCGTCTATTCTGTTAGATGATTCAAGAAGTCTTATCGACATTGTCGAAGTCCTATAGATGTTCTCAACGAGGTTTATATAACGTTGATCCACTCTGGCATTTCTCAAGGATTTTATTATTGCCCAGATTTCTACTGTGTCGAAGGCTTTTCGGAAATCGACAAAAGCCATCCATAGATTTATATTATATTCTGTAGCTTTCTCGATCATCTGCATTACTGTGTATAGATGTTCTGTCGTGCTATAATGGCTTCGGAATCCAGCCTGTTCCTTTGGTTGGTAAACTTCGAGTTTTCGCTCTAATCTGTTGGTGATTATTCTGGTGAATAATTTATATATTTGTGATAGTAAGCTTATCGGCTGGTAGTTTTCGAGATTAGTCGAGTCACCTTTCTTGTAGATCAGAACAACCACAGCATTCTCCCAATCTTTGGGTATATGTTCTTCTGTTAGGCACTTATTGAATAGTTTCACTAGTTCTCGTCTTGTCTTAGTACCGCTTTCCTTGAGTATTCCAGGCAGAATGTTGTCTTCTCCTGCCGCTTCACCATTTTTCATCTGGGATAACCCTTTCTCCAGTTCTTCCATATTTATGTCGGGCATTTCTTCTGAGTTTGCATTTACTATTCGTATTTTGTCTTCTCTTGTCATCCTTGTGTTTGCTATTTTAGATTCGTACAGATCTCTATAGAAAGATTCCACAACTTTTAATATCTGTTGTCTAAATGATCTAGGGCTGTTTGGCTGTGTCAGGTGAGCATACTGGCCCAGTTTTCAAAGACTTCAAACTAAAGTTTCATAGAATTAAAGTATTGAAATTACTGGTCAAGTTCTTAGATTTTAGTTTCAAAATTAGAAACATTAAAGTACATTTTCTATTATATTTCTTATACCAAATTTAGTTTATAAAATGTAATTTTTTTATAGTAAGAGGAAGTGAGATTCACAAAAGAGGAAGCTCCTTATCAAAACCAGTATGGCTTCCCACTCCTACGATCCCGTGTAATAAATAATTATGGTCACTATCTATCTCGAATGGCACATTTATATCCTTTTAAATACTTTTTCAACTATGATAATTTTTCGGCTTGGGTATAATAAATAATTGAAACATAATATATAAAATTAACACATTTATTTATTTACAAAGTCTGTTCAGTGATTTCTTTCAAAATATTGCAACCAGCTTTTTTTCAAATTATTCTAATTAAACAATTAATACAAAATATTTTAAAAGGTGTGTAGGCGTAAATAGTTGATTGGCATTGTTCGGAATAATATTCGCAGTTGAAATTAGGTTATCAAACGGAAGTATTTTTATCAATTAATATAGACAAAAATTTATTAATGAATTGACCGCAAATTTTGAGGCCTGCTATCTAATGAAACCAGGCACATATTGGGCTGAATGATAAATGAAAAATTATATGCTAGCTAAGAAATCTTTTAACTTTGTAGTACTTTTTACTACATTATTATTCTCAACAGCTTTCTGTAAAATATTATTCAAACTTTTCCTATTTTTGTTTTTAAGTTTTTCATTCAGCCTAGCAACAAATGGCAAAATAATTGGCTTTGGCACTTCATCAGTGGTTTTCTTTGAAGACAATTTAATTTTTTGTTTGACTTTTTTTAAGGGAGCTGTCCCAAAACCTCTTGTGTTGGTCATACTAACTGTGGCATTTAAATTTGATTGTTCTGGTGCCATAAAGGCATTGCTGACATCTAATTGATTGGGTTTCTTTGCCTTGGTAGATGTAACAATGCTTTGGTTGAGGCCACAAAACTTGTCAGTTTTAAGTTTCTTTTTCTTTTTTGGTGGCTTTTTCTTGGCTAAAGTTTTCTTGATTGGCTTATCCATCCAAACTACTGATTTTTTTTTGCAATGACTACAAGTTTGAATCTGGAAATTGATTCAAATTAACAAAGCAGATGTGAGGGATGAATGTATAAAACAACTTTCATAGGCTAGAGGATTGAAAAATTGAATGGCAATTAGCCAATGGGAGAGCTGATGTTAAACAAAAGACCGTAGGAATGATATAAAGCCAAAGGTAAAAATCCCAAGAAAGATATAGGTAAAAAAAAAAAACCTAGGAAAGATATGAAAAAAAAAGACCCTAGACCCTAGGAAAGGATATAAAAAGGAGGTCCTACGAAAGTTATAAAAGGAAAGACTCTAGTTCGGACTCTAGGGAAGATATAGAAGGAAAGGCCTTAAGAAGCATATACTTAAAAGACCCTAAGAAAAATACTTGGAAAAACATAAAAGAAGAAACAGCTAAAATTCCTTACCAGTTTGTTCTGATCTTGAAAGCCATTGGGAAACTTTTTAAGTAATTTTTTGTAATAAGCTTTCTGATAATCAGTTAAATAGGCTTCTTTTTTAGCTTTGGCTATAACTTGCTTAGCAAACGAGCTTAATTTAGCAGGTTGCACTTCAAATTTGGTATCTCCTTCTGAGTAATCCATAAAACAACACTGACAGCGGCTGTAGCGTTTCTGATCTGGCAAGAAAATTTTCTGGCGCAGTTCCATTAATCTGACCTTTGTTCTAGGAATAAGATATTAGCTAATCAACTAAATTTTGTTTGTGTACCTACCTGTAGAGTGATTTCAATGTTGGTAGATTTAGAGGCCCGATTCTGGTCAACTGATCCATGTATTTAATGGAGTTTTGGATGATTAGCTTTTCTTGGTCTTCGACCGTTTCGATTTTATCCATAATTTTTAATAATAATTGAAACGCAATTTTGAAAATTTCACTTTACATAACCTATAAGCCACAACAAAAATATGTCACACGTGTTCAAATGTAAATATACGTGAAGTTAGCAAAACGAAAATTGCACTAAGTGAGAGTAGAATCGTCACTCTGTCCGCTCTATTTTACTCCCCGAGCTCACGGTATTTTGATCTGAGATCCACGAACTTGAAATTACTGTTCGTTTATTTGAAAAGTTTGCTCGGTGCAAGCTCATTCGCGTTCATTTATTAAAATTTTTAGCTCTCTGATACAACGTTTAACTGTTCTGTACGCTCGCTGGTCACCCTCTGCTCTTTGAGCAAAATACCGAACGCAACGGTTACTGCATTTTTCGGCAGAAAATTGCTCCAGAGCGAGTGCAAGGAAATTAAACACTTTTTTGGAGTTTTGGAACACAAATTTCTAGTTCAAATTTCAATAACTTGCACCATGCTTGAGGTCGAATCGATTTTGTATTACGAACTTACTCCAGAACAAGTGCAAGGGTGTCGAATACGTCTCGTATTCGATTACCTGAACTTTGCCTGAACAGGCTCTGGTGCACAGTTTGCTCGTATTTTGTGAGTACAGAGCAGGGACTCGGACCGAAATGAAATATCAGTTGCAGGTTGCAGTCCACAGCGTCATGATAAATATCGGTTCCGTTCTAAAAGAAATATTGTGATACGGTTCGGACCGATAATTTCGGTTTTAACGGTTCATACCGGTATAATTTTTCACAAATATTTTAAAATGGTGTTTTATTGTCATTTGAATAGAATTTTGCATAAATATTAAATATATCATAAAAATCAATAAAAATCCCAAGCCCCACACCGCGCCAAAGTACCAGTGATGACGTATGCAGTGTGTCGTTTTTCGCCTTGACGAAGGGTTTTTGCACTACAGGTTATGATTGCGCTGATTTTTGCTTAGGTATATCTGGGTTTCGTACATAATGAACATTCTTCAAATAACACTTGTTAATATCTCGTTCGCATCTTTCTCTTTATTGCCTATTACGTTTATAAAATAATAGTTTTCATCATAAAATGTATATTCCTAACTACGTCCGCTGGCGCGAACCGTTAATGACACCGTTGATGACGTCGGCAACGGTGCAACACCATAGGGCTGTTTCAATATCAACTGTTTAGTACTGGATTTACTGTGCTCATTTTACGTTCCGATTTCAACAGCCTACTAGTTTTGCTGGAAAAAAAGGTACAGTTTTCAGCACTAGCAGCACTGTCCTGTCAACGGTCATGATAAGAACGGAGAACGGTAAACTACAAAAGGAAAGTTTTTGGCTACAGTCGATCCAGTAAATATTAATGACGTCACTAGTGCATTCAAGACGTCATTCAATACTGAATCAGTGTATTGAAAATAATATCGGAACGACATCCAGTAAATTCAGTACTGACAGTTGATATCGGAACATAGCCCATATATGAACTTGTTTCCAAAAATCGAGGCCGATGAGCAGTCCTATAGTAGTGTGTAATATCCTTGGTGTAGCCTAGCCGAGTTTAGAAATGCACGCTTTTCAACAAGAGTAGAGTTAAATTTATTACGATATGATAAAACAGCACACTAATTTATGAAATCTTGGAACCGAAAAATACGGTAAGAACCGATTAATTTGTATCGATTCCGGTTCTTCTTGCCTTCTATTTCTATTGATTTTGTTCTGGTTTCGGTCCGCAAAAAAAAAAACGGTTCCGTTCCGGTTTTTGATTCAACATCGTTCCGGTCCAGGTCTCTGGTGCAGAAATTCATGGTTCTGGAATCGTAGTAGAACTTCTACTATGCTCCAAACTGCTCTAGAATAAGTAAGTGCCTTTTTTTTCATATTGATATTAATGTGGGAAAATCAGCCTTATTCACGTGTCCACTTGTTTATTGAAATTTTCCAATATTGGATATTGAGACATTTCAATATTGAAGAGATTTCTTATTCACGTGTACCCCTTGAAAACGGGATTGTTGGAAATTGGAAAACTGTTCTTTAATTGAATAAGTTAAGGCGGCAACACTGTAAAATTGCCAAAAACCTTAAAAATGTAACCCCACTTTTCTATTCATTTTGTTGTTTATGAGTTTATTTATTTATTTTAGTGCCTGATTTAGCTGACTTGGATTGGAATTTAATATCTATCATTTCTTCGTCAGTTATTTGAATTTATTTGTCAATTCTCATGGGTATTCTTTGTGACTCTTTAGGTTTGTTTGTTTCTGTTGTTCAGGGCGGCCTTCATGCTTTGGGGCGTTTGTTTGTGAGCGTTTTATATGGTTTATATTCCATACAGAAATATTACAGCTTAGTTCAAGTTAGACTAGTTAGAGTGACACAAACTAACAAACCTTTTGTCATATTCATACCCACTTTTATAATGGAGGAAAAACGCACGTCAAAAATACAATAAAAATGCAATGCACTTAAAAAAATAATCACAGACTTTGGGATGCAAGATGCAATGCGGACGTTCTGCATCTGGAAGAAATTGCCCAATTTCCTCAATTAGATTAGATAGAGATACCTTGCAGTATTTTTTCAAAACCTGCTGATGTTTTTAAAATTATTTTCTGGCAAATCCAAAGGGTTATTGCTTGTCTCCCAAAGGTTATTCTTTTTCAGATTGTGTTCAAGTCTAAAAAGTATAATACGATCATAGTTATCCAAGGCACTCTGCTTCTTGATTTTCTTAGACGATTTTTTGATAGCTCATACCACTCACCAGGAATAAAGAGCTTCCTCACCTTTAATTTTTCCCTTCTAATGCTGCAATAAGCAACGGAAAATCATCCATAATTGAAAATAAAATACCACTCACTTCTATAGTTACTGAATCAAGTTTTGAAAACGACTTTTTTCACACGGCTTAGACAGTTTGTTGGACCGAGCCGTACTTAGGCGAATTCCACAAGTCGAGCGAGTGTGAAAAAAAGTTTTCAAACGAGTTTTTCACAATGTTTTTCCTACAAATGCAAAATAAAACAACCAAATATGTAATTTTTATTAACCATAATAAATAAAAAACTAATAAGCAGCGTGTGAAGAACTGTTTCTCACACTACTGTGCGAAAAACTCTATTTTCAGAGGTTGCCTAGCGTGTGAAAAACTCCATTTTCAAAGGCAGTTGTAGGAAAAATTCTAAACATAACACAAAACCCAATAGTTTTCCAATATCCAATTTGCCAAGCCGGTGCCCGAACCACCTGCTTACAAAATATGAAACACTGAAAACTGTTATTGGAAAATATAGTACACCTGAATAAGATATTCGATGTTAATTTCAATAACCAATATGACGTTCAATAACCAATATTCAATTCAACAACTAAGCAGCACCTGAATAACAATCCACCATATTTTTACAGTTTTCCAATAACCAAGGCAATAACCAATATCCAATGACACACATGAATAGGGCTGAATATCGATACTCTTCATACTTTTTTTTGCATCTCTTTTTTTTTCCCCAATTTTTGTTTATTCCCGGCTCTTGAATTTGTCGAAATAAAGAAAATGTAAGAGCCCTGAATAGAAAAAATAGGAATCATTAAAAAAATCATATTCACGTTTTGCTTTCAAGGTACGAAATTACTCCAGAGTGAGTGCAAAAGAAACTAAAAACTTTTGGCAGAGACGAATTTTGGAGCACTTTGCGGTTCATTAGAGTCACTAATTTTGCAATACGAACATGCTCTAGAACAAGTGCAAGGGCGTCGAATACGTAAAATCTGTTTTTTTTTTAAATATAATTCCCCAAGTCAAAAATTTAGTAACTATGTTAAGAAACACAAGCCTTTTCTACATAAAAAATTTGAAAGCATTGACAATTTTACATTGTATTGCCAACATATTGTCATTTTGACTTTTATCTTAAAAAAAAAACAGACTTTAGTTATCGTGTATTCGATTCGATTACCTGGAACTTGCTCTAGTGCACAGTTTGCTCGTATTTTTTGAGTGCAGTTCAATATTTCCTGATTCTGGAGTCGGAGTGCGTGGCGCCCCCGAGGTGTTCTAGAGCGCGCCAGTGTGCATACTGGTAAGCAGCTCATGCTTCAAACACTGCTCTAGAATTAGTGCCTTTTTTTCATCATATTGATATTAATGTTAGATATCGATACTTTCCATACTTTTTCGTACATCCCTTCTTATTTCTCAATTTTTGTTTATTCCCGGCTCTTGAATTTATCCAAATAAAAGGTCTGTTTCTGCAGAAATCACAAACCCAGTCAGAGCGAATTTCATTCATTGGTTGAAAACAGTCAGAAAACTAGTTTCAACCAATGAAATTCACTCTGACTGGTTTGTGATTTCTGCAGAAACAGACCTGAAGAAAATTGGAATAGAAAAAATGTGAGTTATCATGATCATTTTAAACATTCATATTTGCGTCTTGCTTTAAAGGTAAAAGATAAGTGATATAATAACTCCAGAGTGAGTGCAAAGAAACTAAACATTTACGTCTGTTTCAATGCAGAGACGAATTTAAGAACAGAAATGTACAGGTTATTGGGAATTTTATTATACGAACATGCACTAAATAGAACAAGTGCAAGTGTCGAATACGTTTAGAGAGTTCTCGTGCCGTCCAAATTTCAAATACCGTTACGCTATTTGACAAGTATGACAGTTCTTACGGTATTAGCGTTAGCGGATCCCGCTATCTAAAGGTACGGTTTGTTAGGATAGTACGCGACGCACAACTGACAACGTAAACGTAGTCATTGGTTCAGGTATGACGTACACCCGTTTTCTGACGCTGACGCCGACGTCAGGTAACGGCCAATGACGACGTTTACGTTGTCAGTTGCGCGTGAGTTGCGCATCGCGTACTATCCTAACAAACCGTACCTTCACGGAACTTAGCGGATGCCTTACCGTAACGCTATGCTATGTCAAAGCTAGTTTACGCACATTTCATGGCTGCAAAAACAACAACTTCTAATAATTCCTCCATAAAAAACACCAAGGGAACATTAATCAAACTCGGGAATCTTCAGGATAAATAAAAGTTAGAAAACAAGCAAAAAAAAGTTGGGTTAGATCACTCAAATCAGCTGTCAAAATGTAAATAGAATAAGGGATTAGAGGATTTATGTGTCTTCGTGTCCGAGAACTCTAAAATACCACGTGAAATACCATATTGTTAGCGGTACCGTATTAGTGTAGCGTGTGATGCACGAGAACTTTCTTTATCGCGTATTCGATTACTTTAAACCTGCTCTAGTGCACAGTTTACTCTTATTTTGTGAGTGCAGGGTGATAATTCATGATTCTGGAGTCGGAGTAGAACTTTTATTATGCTCAAAACTGCTCTAGAATTAGTAGTTTCTTTTCACTATCGATATTCATGAGAAACTCGAAATAAAGAAAATTCAAGAGCCTGGAATTGAAAAAATATGAATATAATCATTTAAAGCGAACACAAATTTGCAGTTCATTGCGGTCACCACTTTTGTAATAGGAATATGCACTAGAACCAGTGCAAGGGTGTCGAATACGTTATTATTGCGTATTCGATTACTTGGAACTTACTCTGGTGCACGGTTTGCTCTAATATTGTAAATCTAATGCAATAATTCGGGATTCTGGAGTCGCAGTGGATGGAACTTCTTCTATGCCCTATGCCCCAAGCTACTCTAATGTCTTGCCTAAAGAAGAAGGAAGAAGACTCGTTAACATAACCGTATTTCCTTGCACTGTCACACACAAAAATTAGTTGGCCAACTTTTCTTGCAAATCTGCAATATTTCATCACTTCCAACAAACCCCAGATAAACTCCCAAACCCCTAACAACAGTAGTTATCAAAATGGTGCTGGATCTCGACCTGTTTCGCGCCGACAAAGGAGGAAATCCTGACAAAATCAAGGAAATCCAAAAGAAAAGGTACAAAGATGTTGGACTTGTAGATACTGTAATCGAAAAAGACACCTTATGGAGGCAGCTCAGGCATACGGCCGATAACTGGAACAAACTGAAAAACGTTTGCAGCAAAGCCATTGGTGAAAAAATGAAGAAAAAAGAACCGCAAGGTGATTCCAGTGAAGCAGTACCTGAAGATGTGGTTGCAACTTTGGATTCTTTAACTGTTGAACAACTACAAGCTTTGTCTGTTAACCAAATTAAAAAGGTAAGAATTCTTATCGATGAGGCTGTAATCAAGAACGATCATGACCTTCTAGTTGCTGAAAAAGTACGCAACAATGCTCTAAAAGAAGTAGGTAATCTTTTGCATGATTCTGTGCCAGTTGATGACAATGAAGATAATAATAAAGTTGAGCGTACTTATGGCGATTGTGAATTTACAAAGAAATACTCTCATGTTGATTTAATTTCCATGATTGATGGAGTAGATTCTGAAAGGGGTACAGTCGTTTCAGGCAGTAGAGGGTATTATTTAACTGGGCCTGCAGTATTTTTAGAACAAGCCCTTATCCAATTCGCCCTTAGGCTCCTCCTGAAAAAATCCTACAAACCTTTATACACTCCATTCTTTATGCGAAAAGAAATAATGCAAGAAGTAGCACAATTGTCACAGTTTGATGAGGAACTATACAAAGTTATTGGCAAAAGTAGTGAAAATGCTGAAGACAAAGAAGTAGAAGAAAAATATTTGATTGCAACTTCAGAACAACCAATTGCAGCTTTTCACAGAGATGAATGGATTCCTGAAAGCACTCTACCAATTAAATATGCAGGATTGTCCACTTGCTTCAGGCAAGAGGTGGGATCTCACGGGAGAGACACTAGAGGCATTTTTAGAGTGCATCAATTTGAAAAGGTTGAACAATTTTGTCTGACTTCGCCATTCGACAACAAATCTTGGGAGATGATGGACGAAATGATTTCCAATGCAGAAGAATTCTACAAAGCCTTGGAAATTCCTTATAGAATTGTCAATATTGTATCTGGAGCTCTTAACAATGCTGCAGCCAAAAAGCTGGACTTGGAAGCTTGGTTTCCTGGATCTGGTGCCTTTCGTGAGCTGGTCTCTTGCAGTAATTGTTTGGAGTATCAAGCTAGAAGATTATTGGTTAGGTGAGTAGAAGTTTTAAATCATTTCAAGTATAATATGAAAATAAATTTCCAGATATGGTCAAACCAAGAAAATGAACGCAACTACGGATTATGTGCACATGTTGAACGCTACAATGTGTGCAACTACAAGAGTTATATGCGCAATACTTGAGGTGCATCAAACTGAAGAAGGGATAAAAGTACCAAAGGCTCTGAAGGAGTTTTTGCCTGAAGAGTATCAGGAGTTCATTGCGTTTGTCAAACCTGCACCAATTGATCTGGAAAAAGAAGCCAAGGCTAAGAAGGGACAAGGCAAGAAGAAAGGGCAAGGTGAAGAATGAGAATTTTCTATTTATTGATTTTGTATTGAACTTATGCATTTATAAGCTTTAAATAAATTTTTTTGCTTTTAATTCAGTGTTGACTATTATTGATTGCTAATAGGTATTGCATCAAGAATGTAAATAAACACTTCATTGGCATGAAGGACTTCGCCTACAAAAGAAAATCAGAAAAATCGTATTGATAAACCCTTTTCTAATTTTCTATGATAGTTTTCTAGCGTACTCCATTACCTGCACTAGTTTTAGAGCAGTTTGGAGCATAGTAGAAGTTCCACTCCATAATAAAAATAATTAAAAACTGGCATGAATGAAAAGTTTTATTGTATAGTTGAGTTGGTTTTATTTTGGAAAAGGTAAAAAACTCTTGTCGTCAAGGGCGCCCACAGGGAGGGTCAGGGGGGGTCACTCGACACCCCCTGGAAATTTCTTAAATTTTAATTATTTTCTATATATGTATATTATATTGTAGGTCCGATGATGCTCGTATGAGCGAAACGGGCATACTTGAATACGGCCACAAACCAGGTAGCTGCAGTAATTCTACCTTTGACTCTAAGGACCAAATCATGAAACCCAACCTACTTCCCATAAAACTTACCTTATGATGTTGACAGATTTCGCATTGCATAAAAGTTAATAAATCTAAAAAAGTGTTAATATGTATTTTGATGCGCAAAATAAAAAGATCTACCAAAATGACTATGGAAAGATTCACAGGCCTTTTTTTTTGTTATCCAGGTCTATCAAGGCATGTGCCATGTGTCAATGAGATAATCTGAAAACTTAACTAGAACTTCGTGATTCGGCTGAATAGCTAAAAACTCGAAAACAAAGAAATCACTAACTTCTTGATTCTCCAAAAACATCATTCCGAAACAATTATGTAACGATTTACCGATTTCTGAATCTTTTTTTTTATATTCAATGCTTAAGCCTAAGTTTTAAATCTTCCTCTACCATGCCTGAGATTTTAGCTATTAAGAAGTAAATAAGTTGATTTAATATCTATATCTCAGTGTACCGATTTGCATATTGATAAATTGTCACCCTTTCCTTATTCCGGAACTGGTGAATTTTGTGGCTGAGTTCAAGGATCCCGGAGCTAAACACATGTCACTATTAAGTGAATCAAATAATAAACAATATGTGTGTTAACATGTGGCTTTTCAAATTATGTTTTTGCTTAAATTTTGCATTGCAAGTGTCACATTCAAATGGATAAATATCCGAATGTGTTAGTTTGTGAATCTTTAAATCGACTTTCCATTTAAATTTTCATTTGCAAGTGTCACATTCAAAAGGATAAATATCCGAGTGTGTTGAAATCTGCCTTTGTAAATTACTTTTCTTCAAATTTTGCCTTGCAAGTGTCACATTCAAATGGATAAATACCCGAATGTGTTAGTTTGTGTATCTTCAAATCGCATTTCCTTTTAAATTTTGATTTGCAAATGTCCCATTCAAAAAAATTAAATATCCAAGTGTATCAATATGTGTTCCTTCAAATCGCCTTCTCTTTTCAATTTTGCATTGCAAATGTTATATTTGAAATTCTCCTCATCCGAGTGTGTTAATATGTGGCTTCTCAAACTACGTTTGTGTTCAAATTTTGCATTGCATGTGTCACATTTAAAAGGATAAATATCAGACTGTGTTAGTTTGTGTCTCTTCAAACAGTCTTTTCCTTTGAATTTTGCTTTGCAAATGTCACATTCAAAAAGATAACTATCGAAGTCTGTTGATATGTGACTTTTCAAATTACCTTTTGGTTTAAATTTTCCTAATTTAAATTTTTCTTTAAATTTTGCATTGCATATGTTGCATTTAAAATTCTTCTCGTCCAAGTGTGTTAGTTTGTGGTCTTTTCAAACTGCCTTTTTTTTAAATTTTGCTTTGCAAATGTTGCATTTAAAATTCTGATTCTGCTTCTAAAATGATAATTTAGACTGAAGTGCCCTTTTTTACGCATAAATTTATTTTATTCAATTGATTTTGACCCCCCCCTACATATTTTTCTGCGGGTGCCCCTCTGTTTGTCGTGAAAGTTGGGTGATTTCACTGATTCCATTAAGTTATCACGTAAAATGTGATTTTTTCAACTTTGGAAGCCTTTATTGGAAAACAAGCAAAGGATAACAACTTGACATTCGCATTTTTCTACGATCATGTGAGTTTTGAAAACAACAATTTCAAGACCGTTCTGTCACTTCCTGTTCAAAAATAAATTTTGATCCAAAATTCTAAATTTCTTCAAAAATGTTCAAATTTGACGTTTTCATACACATCATGATTTGTAGATCCCAAAAATGCGAAAAAATTCTTGAGATGCTATTTGAAATTACAGAGTTAGGACCATTTCCGGTCAAACCGGAAGTTACCAAACATTGACACACATGTAAAAAGATGACATTTCTTAAACCTACACTCTATACCAAAAATCTTTGCCATTGGAAAAAAAAAATAGCAAATGCCAGCATGAAACTGCTGATCTCGTAAACACCTGGTATATTACAGGTATTCTTTCGATCTGAACAAATTGATTGTAATAACATCAGGTTTGTTTGTGAGGCGTCAAAAAAAATTAGGGCCAATGAAATCATGGTAAAACCAGATGAGTTGTTTGAAATAAACCTCAAGTGACTTCGATAAGTTGATTCAGATCGAAAGAATACCTGGATTGACACCCCACCTACAGCCTTTACCTTTACAGGTAGGTAGATGAAAGTTATAAATCAAAAGTTGTACAGTATTGGCTACATTTTTAGAATCCATGGTCAAAAACAAAAATTAAATGTCAGAAATGTGAAATATTGCATGTTTTCGGCTTTTTCCAAATGGGATGCGCTATAATTGGTTCTATATTCTTGAAGAGCACAATTTCTCGATTCCAAAACTATATAGTCTGTCTATATTTGGTTGAGCCAAAACTGTACAACTTTTGTATTTACATCTTTCTTCTACCTGTAAAAGTAAAGGCTGTAGGTGGGGGTCAATATATAAAAAAACACCCTGTACAAATAAGTGGATTTTGTGAAACTTATGGGTGGACCTCTGCGGGACGAGCGCAGCGAGTTCCGCAGCCATCTACTCACCAATATACTGTTGAATTGTTCAAATAAAAGACTCGCCTGAAACGTGTACTTTTTAAACTAATGAGAATAACTCACATTTGAGTGAATCAGGTTAGTATCATAATTAAACAACATATTGATGAATAGATGGCTGCGGAACTCGCTACGCTCGTCCCGCAGAGGTCCACCTATAAGTTCCGCAACAATTTTCTCATTTGTACTTGAATAACTTGTCACATTATGTTACTAGTTTGGTAAAGTAACATTACTAATTCCCGTTGAAAGGCAATTGACAAAAAGTGAATAATCATAATCTTACAAATTTTTACTTTAGATATATAATAAGTTATTATTCTAGTACAAATAAGTGGATTTATGCGGAACTTATGGGTGGACGTCTGCGGGACGAGCGCAGCGAGTTCCGCAGCCATCTACTCACCAATATACTGTTGAATTGTTCAAATAAAACACTCGCCTGAAACGTGTACTTTTTAAACTAATGAGAATAACTCACATTTGAGTGAATTAGGTTAGTATCATAATTAAACAACATATTGATGAATAGATGCGGCTGCGGAACTCGCTACGCTCGTCCCGCAGAGGTCCACCTATAAGTTCCGCAACAATTCACTCATTTGTACTTGAATAACATTGTCACATTATGTTACTAGTTTGGTAAAGTAACATTACTAATTCCTGTTGAAAGGCAATTGACAAAAAGTGAATAATCATCATCTTACAAATTTTTACTTTATATAATAAGTTATTATTCTAGTACAAATAAGTGGATTTATGCGGAACCTATGGGTGGACCTCTGCAGGACGAGCGCAGCGAGTTCCGCAGCCATCTATTCATCAATATGTTGTTTGATTACGATACTAACCTGACTCACTCAAATGTGAGTTATTCTCAGTTTAAAAACTATACGTTTCAGGTGAATGTCAGAAATGCGAAATGTTGCATGCATTCAGCTTGTTTCAAATGGGATGCCCTATATTAATTTGGTTCTATATTCTTGAAGAGCACAATTTCCCGATTCCAAAACTATATAGTTTGTCTGTATTTGGTTGAGCCGTCTCCAACATATTTGGTCCTAAAAATTTTAAAAATATTATCAGAGAAACCCAAAGTACCTACCTCAAATTTTACTTGCAGCTTTCACCTGTAGGTAGAATAGTTCACAAAATCAGCAGTAGGATGGTATTTTTACAATTTTTGGAGCCAAATGAGAGACTGCTCAATCAAATATAGACAAACTATATGTTTTTGGAATCGGGGCATTGTGCTCAATGTGCCTCAATGGCCCTTGGGACCTCCCAAACTTCATACACTAAACATTTTCGAGATATAAAGACGAAACCTATGAAAAAAGGCACTGAGAAAAATTGAAAAACTGATAAATCACCCTAAATTGCTTAACATGATTTTATTTCTGGAACTATAAGTCCAAATGAGCTGAAATAATACTTCAAAAGGATAAGAATCGCTGAAAATTTCAGCTTTCCACCTATAATAGAATTTGAGATATGATTCTATGAAAAAAAGGACGTCAGGAAAATTGAAAATTTACTAATCTTTTACTCACATGACAGGCATTCTCTTGTATCTTTCTAATATATTTTTTATTTGATCCTATACAATTGCAATATGAGCATAATGTACTTTATATTGAGAATTAGCAGTTACTGATTCTACAACCTCCTCAACAACTCCAATACATTTTCATGCCTTGTCCCAGATTATGAAGATAATTCGGTGACATAATGAGACTATAACATAATACGGCACTGGTTCAAAGTCCCGTAAGAACAGTATTTTTTTTTCCAGTCAGTTTACACTGTACATTCGCTTAACTAACTCACCCGGCCATTCTTCAGCCCAGTGTTCTTTCCTACATCGGTTTTAAGACAGTGGTACCGTAATTTGAAATCAAGATGCGTTCTTATTGCCGGTAAAAATAAACGTGGATTTATAATAATTTTGTTTTTGCATAGAGAAGGT